GGCATGCTGCTGCCCGTGCTGTAGTTGCATATAACCCTGCACAGTGACACATGGCTGCTGCCATGAATCCATCTCAGCCAAGCGTGCTTGCAATGAGTTCAGCCAGGGCAGCTGTTCTGCTGGGGGCCCCACATAGGCCTTGAGACCCGTGGGTCTCCTCGAGGAGACCAGGCCCTGCTTAGAGCAGCATGCTGACAGACCATGCTTCATGCCTGATCCCCCACTCAGATCACTCAGTGGTGCAAGCATTTCCAGATGGGATGCCAGGACCATTTATCCATGAAGCTCTAACATGATGTGAAGCTGTCGGTTCTTTGCCCTAAGGGCCCCACTTCCCTGATGTTTGTCTTGGCTGTCGCTTCCCAAGCCACCAGCCTCCCTGGCCCACATGGGCAATGACCGGGCTCCTCGCACTCTGGCAGCAACGTTTATGAAGTCAGCTGGCAATGTAAGTGTGTAGACATCAGCCTCCTGTCCCCTCCCTGGATGATCAGCCACAGCTTGGCACTCCCTGACCGCCGTGCATGGGTGCCCCAGTGGTTCTCAGCCTTTTTGAGACTCAAGGCCCCCTCAAAATGTCAGCTCTTAAATTTTCCCTCATGTTTTGCCTACAGAAAAATACCGGTGCAGTTCATCTGTTGCAAAGAGCTCAGAGAGACTGCAACATGGCAGGACTGTTTTAATACTGTAAAGCTTTTTCAGTCTCTGGGTTTATCTTGTACAGCCTGTCTGCTTCCCTAACAGTGCTAATGTTGTGTGGCACCCTTAAAGGGATTTCAAGGCCTCCCAGGGTGTCGTGGCACCCTGGGTGAGAGGGCCTGCTCTGGACTGTAAGCTGCTTGGCTGCAGGGCCCTGGCCTCATGTGAGCATACAGCACTTTGCACAGCAGCAAAGCTTGCACAGAAGTGACACAGCTTGTATTTCAGTAGGATGCTCTTTGGGAGGTGACTGGTCTTCTCTGACAAAGCTGTGCCGGGGTTGCCTGTCTTAATGCAGTGCTGGAAGGAGCTTGGATTGCTGTGCCAAGCCTGCTGATGAGAGCAGAGCAGACGTGACCAGAGTATGAGCTGTCCTGGACTCAGCAGTTCCTTGAGCGGGCAGCTGCAATGTAGAGAATATCCCCCTTGGTACAAGTCTCTCTGCCTGCATCTCCTTGGCTGCCCCCGTAGGAAGGCCTTGCAGAGACCAGTTGGTTGTTGTGGTCGCAACGGATTACCCAGTTTTTCCTCTGCAGTAGACTTCATGAGCAGCTCTTCCAAGCTGGTTGCTGGAAGTAGGGAGTTGTATAGCAGCACATGGCCATCAGATGGCTGGGAGCCAGTGTAGACTGAGCTGTGGTCAGCAGTGCTGAGGTGAATTACCTGAGTGTGGAGACAGCCAGCACATCGGTGCATCTCTCAGCAGTGCGCAGCTACCCCTTGCTCACCAGCAGGTAGCTTTATATTGGAATGGAGCCACTACCACCAGTGTAAGACTGCAGCCTCTGCTGCACTCATCTTGTGCAGCACAGTTGGCTTTATCCACAGTAAATGCGTGCCTGTGCCCGGACACGTCTTCCCCCGGTTTTTAGCTGCACTCCAGCTGTGGCACTGCTGCTCCACAGCTCGTTTGCTGGTGGGCGGAAAACATTCTCGATCGGTGGCACCAATGGATGCCCCTCCTGCCAGGCCGCCATAGAGCAGTCCCACGTCTGAGGGTGGAAACTTGCACCTGTCACCAGCGGCTTCTCAGCTGCTCACACTGCACGGTCCCATGCTTTCTGAAGACCTGTGCAAGGGCAAGCAGCGCTCTGCTTGGTGCTGTGGGGCTGTCCGCATGTCTGTCTGTACTGGCCTGAGCTTTTGAGGAGAAGGTTATTCCGAAGAGCTTGATGCTTCTGTCTCTTGGCCTCAGCTTCATGGCACTTGCTTTGAGTTAGTGGCGATGTTGCCACTCTCCCAGCCAGAGCACTAGGGCTCATGGCTGGGACTGGGAGGATGCATAGGGGACTGTGTGCCTGGACCATGAGACGAGCTGGTGGCGCTGGACCCTCTGGCATCTAAACGGCAGTGCAAGCAGCACGGTCTGTTAACCTGCGGCTGCTGCCTTGGGCTCCCTCTGCAGAAGGGCACCACATGCCTTGGCCCTCATGGGGTGGGAGGGCTTGAGTGTAAAGCAGCTCCATTAACTCCTTGGGACATAGGTTTTCCACACCTTGCTGTGCGGTGGCAGGGAACCACATCGCTGGACATGGCAGCAGCCAGGGTGTCCTCTGACCTACCACCCCATGGGGACAGCTTACCTTGGGCAGAGGGGCAGTGAGTGGCAGTGTTTCTGCATATCTGCATGTCTGCACTTCTTGTCCCGGGTCAGATGAGCGCTGGGCAGTGGAGGCATGGACCTGATCACGCAATCTGGGGTGTCTCTTGCAGTGGCCCCTGCTGCACTCAGCGCTGACGGGGCAGGCAAAGCAAATGGGTTGGTTAGTAGTATCCCATGCTCCTCTGGGACCTAGCTAATGGGCATTAGCATGGGCCATGTTTTGGACGTAGCTGTTTGGCATCTCATTGGTTGTGGGCTGTGAAATTGGTGGGATTGGCTAGAGAAATAAGATGGGAAAGTACAGGAAGCCCCAGCGCTGTGAGCGGGAGCCCAGGACTCTGTTTTAGGTGCTTGCTGATTGCTCAGGGCGTGGCTGGGGCCTAGGTATCCTGTCTTCCTCCCTCTGGCCGGCTTGGGCTCCTCAGGGTCAGGCAGCTAAAAGCCCTGTGGTGTCGGTGCTGGTGTGCACATGGGTCCCCAACACTGTAAGGCCCGTGAAGCGGGCTGCAGGGGCAAGTTCGTCAATCTCTGTCTGCCAGGTCTCCTTCCAGCATGGCTCAGGTCCCACCCTTTGTTCGTGGGACATGCTGTCGGCACAGTCCTGTCCCTACACTGGCAGGTCTCTCACAGACTACAATTTGCCCCATGCAAGAGGCTGGGGTGAAAGAGACCTGTCTCCTGTGCCCACTGTGCAGCATCTCCTGCACCTGCCTGATGAAGGGTAGAAGATTCAGTGCCCTGGGGCCATTAGGAACCTGTGGACTTCCATTCCTGCTAGCGAGTCCATGTCCCTGTGTGGCTGTTGTGTGAGGAGGGCCACATCTCATGCTGGTTCAGCTGGTTGTCCTTGCCTGAGGAGCACGGGAGCTGGCGCAGTGCCCTCAGCCGCTTGGCAACTGCAGCCAGAGAGGTGTGTAAAGACCCCAGAGCTGGGGGTGGCCTTACCCTGCAGCAGGAGTTTGCTCCCTCCTGGCATGGCTGTAACCATTAGCTGGCTGTTGTGGACAGACCCATGCTGCGAAGGAGCATCAGGGTTGGTTTGCTCTCTATCCCAGCTTCGTGCAGTAGCACTGGATGGTAGGGAGCTCTGCGGTCTGACTGCATTGCATAGTCCCTTCTGTGCCCAGTCTGTTCCCCTGGGGAAAAAGCACAGGGAGGGGGAACCCGCTTGCTATGGCTGCTGTCCTGCGCTGAGCCTAGCCCAGTGCAGCCCAGCTAGAGTGGGACAGGAGCTGCCCTCGATCTGCGGAGACAGGGCAGCAGTGGTGGGGGCGATGTCTCTGCCGTCCGAGAGGGGAACAGGAGATTCTTTCCAGCTTTGGAGACTCAAAGGCCCCCATTGCTGCTCCCGCGGTGTGGTCTGCCCAGCTGGTGGGAGGAGGCAGGGAGCCGGGGTGCAGCCACCCCTGCAATGCCACAGGCTGGACCCACCTCCATGTTCCTCCGGTTCTGCTGGTTCTTCCTTCTTTCTTACACTGGGAGGCAGCGAGGCCCTTCGCCCCTCACCAGGGCATTCCCTCCTGCAGGCCATTTGTTCTAGAAACTTTGTGTTGCCTCTTGCTCGTCACCCTTGGGGCGACCATCCCGTTCTTTACAGCCCCTGCTCCCGCGTCCCACACGAGAGACTGCTCTGCTGCTCTCCTGGGTCCACTCTAGCCTGCAGCATCTCTGGACATTGTATAACCCATCCCGCAGGCGGGGTTGTGAGGTGTTGGCACCACTGTTCATCACAGGGCATCATCTCTTCCTGGTCCTCACCCATCTCCCTGTGTCTCCCAGCACCGTGCTTGGCTCCTTGACAGGAGCTGCACACAAGCTGAGGAGAGTCAAGCTGCTGACCATGCCCTGGGGCATGAGCTAGCGTGGGCTGGCATCCCCTTGTTTCCTCCAGTCCCCTGTGGAAGCTTCTGCTGCTTAGAGCAAGCACCGCTTAGAGCCATCTGTGCCCATGGGTGCTGGGGATGCTGGTGCAGCTGCCAGTAAAGAGGGCTGCTGAGCAGGAAAGGAGGCAGGGGTGCCGCTCCTGCGGGCTGGGGCCCTGCTTTGTGCTGGGGTGGGGTGGCTGCTCCGCCTGTGTTGGGGGCCATTCCCCGCCACTGGGAGATGGCCGCCTTCTAGCCTGCGCTGCCTTGCATGCTCACGCTGCTAGATTGGTGCCAGTGGGCTGGGCACAGTGCTTCCACAGCCCTGGTCCGCAGCGAGGGCTGTGCAGGCTGCGGTCGTGCTGGGATGCCGTGCTGATCTCCGGGCCTGGCTCTGTCCCACTGATGGCTGGAGCGGGATCTGCGCTAGCACCCCACCAGGTCTAGAAGGTCCTTGCTTTGTGGCAGAGCTGTCTGTCTGTCTGTCTGTCTGTTGCCCTGAGCTGTGGCTGCTCTCCTGCGTTGTCTGCAGTGTGTGGGGTGGGGCAGGCGGGTGATGCTGTGGGGCTGTTTGCTGAGAGCCTCCGCCAGGCAGTGAAGCCCAGGCAGCCTTGCCGGCTGCTCTCCCTCACTGGGGCCAGGAGCTTCCAGTGCTGTGGGAGCCCCAAATGGGCTGCCTTGGTGAGGGGACAGAGAGGCAGTCCCAGGGGTCTGTGCCCTGCCCGGTGTGGGGAGAGCTTGTGCCTCCTCCAAGCAGCTGGGGGCCTCTGGGACAGCGTGACTTGAGGGCCGTGGGTAGGGATGGCCGCAGTCTAATCATCCGTGGCTTCTTCCAGTGGCGCCAGACACGATCAACAACCATGTGAAGACGTGTCGCGAGGAGCAGAAGAACCTTCACTTCTTTGCCCCGGAGTATGGAGGTGCGGTGTAGTCTGGCGTGGAGGCAGGCTGTCCCATGGGAGGCTGCGGGTAGTGGGAGCTGCTGCCACCTCCCCCAGAGCTGTCCAGCATACAGCTGGGCCTCCGAGCCCTGGTCCTTGGGAGAGGGCTGGAAGGGCAGCAGAGCCTACTCTGCCTGGGCTCCCACTGCTGCCGGGACCTGGCAGGTGCATGGGGAGCGGCTGGGAACTTTGTTTCTCTGTTGCAGAAGTTGCCAATGTCACCACCGCAGTGGATATCTACTCCTTCGGGATGTGCGCGCTGGAGGTAAGCGTGGGCCATGCTCTGAGCACAAGCGAGGATGGTGGGAGGGGCCGACACGTGGAAACCAAGACACTGGCTGGTGGTCGTGCCTCAGCCCATCCCTTTGCGACAGTGAGCTGTTGCTTCTGGAGAGCAGGCACTGTTGGCACCGCATCTGTCGGAGATGGGTGGAGCTTCCTGCAGGCAGTCCGAAGGCTGCGCCGCTTGTTTCCTGGTGGAGCTTACCAGGCAGGGGCCTGGGCCCCTCTGTCCCGTAACGGTCTGTCCTGCGGCTGCTTATCCATGTCGGACGCAGCTGGTGCTGGTGCTGGTACTCAGCCCAGTGGTTCCTGTGCCCAGTTCTTAGCAGGCCCAAGCAAGGAGCTGGGAGCTGAGTAGAAAGACTGTCCACAGCCAGTATCAGGCCATTTTGGTCCTGCATTTCAAGGAAGGTGCCGGTCCAGCTGCAGAATTGAACTGCAGGGTTGGAGGCGTGGAAGTACAGCTGACAAGCGAGCCTGGACTGGCTGAGAGAAGGGCAGGCCATGGGGAAGCACAGGGCTGCTGTACAGCAGGGGTCCAAACTGCTGCCCCTCCCCTGGGGAGCAGACAGGGAGCAACAGGCTTAAGCTGCAGTGAAGAAGGGTTGCATGGGGTGTGGGGAAACCCATTCTGGGAGGCAGGGTGGCTGGCAACTGAGGAGGCTGTGGGAGGCCCTGAGCAGGAACTGGGCACTGGGCACATGCACTCTGGACAGTCGGGCTGCCTTCCCCTGCAGTGGGGCAGAGGGGTGGACAAGGTGACTCCTGCTTCTGCCCCAGGCCTTGGCCTCCCTCCTGCCAGCAGCGATGCAGGAGGAGCCTGGTGGCACAGAGCACCACGGTGGCATCTGGGGAAGGCAGGGAGGCTGGTGCAGTGCCAGGGCCTGCTGCCAGAGCCAGTTGGGCGGTTGGCTTGCTGGGGCTGATGCATGGGTTTCTGTGGCAGATGGCGGTGCTGGAAATCCAGGGCAATGGTGAGTCGTCTTACGTGCCCCAGGAAGCCATCAACAGTGCCATCCAGCTGCTGGAGGATGGCCTGCAGAGGGTGAGTGCAGTGGGTTTGGGCACCCGTGAGGCCACAGGCTGGGCTGGGCCCTGTCCCCCTGGCGCGGCTGGGTCTCAGCACAGCTTTCCCTGCCTTGCAGGAGTTCATTCAGAAGTGCCTGGAGCAGGACCCGGGGAAGCGGCCCACTGCCCGGGAGCTCCTGTTCCACCAGGCCCTGTTCGAGGTGCCATCACTGAAGCTGCTGGCCTCCCACTGTATTGTGGGGCACCAGCGTGAGTATGGGGCAAGGGGCCCAGGCTGGCCTTCCAGGGGGACCCTACTCATGCTGTCCCTTACTGCCTGAAGTCGTGGGCTGCACGGCTTGGAAACATGGTCCTGCCAAGCCGGGGTCACCGGTGATACTTAGGCAGGTGCTCTGCTGGCTCTGGGAGCTGGAGCCAGGCCTCTGCTGTGCCAGCTGCTGCCAGCAGTGCAAGGAGGGGACTCGGTGCCAGGCTGACTGCGCCCTTTGTCCGCAGACATGATTCCAGAGAACGCCCTCGAGGAAATGACCAAGAACCTGGACATGAGCGCGGTGCTGGCAGAGATCTACCACCCCGACCGGGAGGGCGTCAAAATGATGTGAGTACCCGGCCCTGCGCTGTGGGGGTAACAGACCCTGTGCTGTGTGAGGGTGAATGGGGGGAGCCGCTCGGCCTGGCCAGGTGCTCAGGGTCCCCACACTCTGCTCTGGAGAGATGCGGCTGTGGCTGGGGGTCTGGTTATTGCTGAACTTGCGCAAGGAGCGAGAGCAGCTGGCCTCCCTGCTTCCACCGGGGCTCCATGCTGAGGGAAGCAGGAGCTGTTTGACATTGCAGGGGGGGGACGCGTTTTGAACTGCAGGGAGGAAGAGATTGTAGGTGTGTCAAGCATGGTCTTGGGCTGCTCTGTGGGATCCCCTTTGGGTCGAGGCACAGCTCTGGGGTCCCGGGTGGATCGGAGCAGGGACCTGCATGTGGGACCTGGGAGCACGGAGGTGCTTTGTGGGGACCAGAGACATCAGGCTGGGGGCCTAGATAGTGCCTCTCCTCCAGCTTGGGGTGCAGGTGCTCTACCTCCAGCACTGGACTGGGCTGGTGGGTCCGTGTCTCCTGACTGCTGTGTCCAGATCCGCAGCTCCCCATTCCTGGCAGCACCTCCAGCCTGGTCTGGTGCCTCTGCTCTTCGGAGCTGGAGGCCCCTGCTCATGCTCTTAGTAGTAGCAAGTGGCTGCTACAAGCAGGAAGCTGTGCAGAGCTCCATCGCCCAAGATTGGGGAGGATGAGGCCAAACAGCACAGGCCACAGAGCACAGTGGGGGGACAGGGAGCCTGTCTCGCAGGAGACCAGCAGCTCAGCTTGGTCAGCTCGGCAGGAGGGCGGCTCGCAGGACGGAGCAGCTCAACTCAGCTCATGGGTGCCACGCCAGGCTTGGGGCAGGTGGTCAAGCTGATGACAACACAGGCACAAAATAAATGAGCAGAGGCTGCCCCTGAGCAAGCCTTAGGCTGAGGAATTTGTGGTCTCGCCCCTGCACTCGGGCTAAGCCCAACACTGCACTATGGGCAGGAAGGGAGTCTCCCTGCTCAGACTGGCCTGCATTGGGGAGTTTTGTCTTTCTCTGCAGCGGGGGCATGGCCCTGCCTGGGGTTTCTTGTGTCCATTGATAAACTGTCACACAAGCAAGACGTTGCTGCCATGGCAGGGTCAGGTGTTGGGTCTCTGCTGTGTCAGGTTGTCTGGTGCAGAGCTCAGATTATGGAAATCCAGGCTGTTTGAACATAACTGATCCTGCCTCAGGCAGGGCTTGGACTGGATGTGACCTCCAGGGGTCTGATGCGAGTGGGGATCCTGGCAGATGTGACTCAGCTCGGATTCCCACGCGCTCCTTTCCCTTCCAGCTTCTCCCAGTCTCCAGCGCTGGAGTTGGACAAGTTCCTGGAGGACGTGAGGTAGGAGGCCAGGCCTGAGTTCCCTGAGACTGACCTGCTGTGGGGGTTGGGCACTGCCCTGACCTCGTCACATGCAGGGTTGGGCAGCCTGGGGTGGGGGCAGTGCCTGTGCTGTCCTGACTTCCCTCTGCCTCCCAGGAACGGGATCTACCCGCTCACAGCCTTCGGCATGCCGCGGCCCCAGCAGCCCCAGCAGGAGGTAGTGAAGTCCCCCATTGTCCCCCCATCAGTGAAAACCCCGACCCCAGAGCCTGCCGAGGTGGAGACTCGCAAGGTGAGAGTGGCTGCCTGGCCAGGTGTCACTGTGCCCACCTTCCTGCCAGGGCCCAGCATCTGGGGTCACTCTCGCTCTGCTCACTTCCAGGTAGTGCTGATGCAGTGCAACATTGAGTCAGTGGAGGAGGGCGTCAAGCACCACGTAGGTTCCCCTGGCTGTAGCGGGGCCGCACTTGGGGGGGTTGTCTGTGCCTGTGGGGGTCAGTGGGGCCCGGCCCAGGGCGGGAGGGGAGGAACAGGCCTGAGCCCTGGGCAGCCGCATCTCACCCACCTGTCTGCCCCACAGCTGACGCTGCTGCTGAAACTGGAAGACAAGCTGAACCGGCACCTGAGCTGTGACCTGCTGCCCAGTAAGTAGCCGCCTTCCCTGCTGGGGCCTGGCATACTTGCCTGCCTGCTGCATTAATACCAAAGCTTTTTGTCCAAAAATTAGGTTTTCAGAATTTTTGATTGTGCTGATCCCCAGCTTCTTTAACCCTGAATTTACTGCCAACTGATCTTGCCATGCATGAGACGCACAGCTTCCTGCTGGTTGTAGCTTGGCTTGCTTTCCATGTTTTGTCTCCAGCACTTAAAATACCCATTTCTGATCCAGGTGCCCCTAAATCCATATCTACTAGGCTCTGTTTGCTCCTTCTCTTTTCGTTTCTTCTTGCACTTTTGCGACTGTGGCCTATTGTTACGAATTATGCTCTTAAAGCCTTGTGCAGTTCGCTCTAGGCTGGGGCAATGATCACGCAGAGCAGATATCCAAAGTCAAATACAGAATCTTTATTTGCTCGAGCGAGGTGCCTCCGGAGAGGGACCCCACCTACTAGTTATAATACTTTTTTTATACTTTCTAAGTGCAAAAGCGTTAGTTTGTGATTAGCTCGTGCTCGTAAAAATACCCAATCATCTATTAACTAAATCACTATTCTGTCCAATCAAGCGGCACTGTGGACGTGAACACCGAAGTTTACATGCCCCCTATATTTTGTCTCAAGATGTTTCTTTATCTAACAAAAACAAATCATGCCCGACTTTCAAGGTTCTCCTGTTGACGAGACTCCCCTGTTGACTGGATTTAGCTAGTTTTATATCTTTTCAGTAACCCTCACACAGTACCCCTTTTCTCTCCCTGCCATCTTGGAAGTGCTGTGTCTGCTTTTATGAAATGGAGACAAAAGGAGAAAGAAATGGGCCTTACTTTTAGCATTACAAAGCCTTGCTTTAACCCTACAAGATTCATATACAACACTATCCAGCTCTCTGTTTTTTTGTATAGGTAGGAGAGCAGTGCTGCAGTTGGCATACTGTTTTGTGGACATCCTTTTGGCCACCCCTGCCCACTTGCTCAGGTTGGAGGAGGCACTGACTCTCAGTTGTTTGGGCAGGTCTACGTAGGGTCCCTACTGCAAGCCAACCTCGCAGGTGCTGTAGGGTTTTTGTGCCATAAGGACGGATGAATTCCTTCACGTTTTGCCTGCTCACACTGCCTTGTCTTGCAGATGACAATATCCAGGAGCTGGCAGCGGAGCTGGTGCAGCTGGGATTCATCAGCGAGGTGAGCAGGCCTGGCCCTGCGTGGTGACAGCAGGGCTGTGGTGTGTGGCAGGCGGGGGAGGCTGTGTCGGGGGCCG